GAATTTTCCACAAAACCAGTCCCTGGTGCCAAAAAGGCTGGGGATCAATGCTTTAGTGGATTAAAATATTGATTCCCTCTCTCTAGGTATGCTAAGCTGTGCCTTCCCTTTCTGTGGGCTGGACCTATCCAGAAATGGTGGATCCAGAATAGCTGCAACTTGGGTGCCTTCTTCTCTCTTCTAGTTGATTAGGTATCTACCCTTGGGCCCCAAGAAAAGCATTTTGCCTTCATCTGGGCATTGGCCTTGGCCCTTGCCTATATTCTAGAGGCCTATGCCAAAGATAGCCTCTTATTCAGTCGTGTTTATTAACTCAGGGCTGAGGGATGTACAGTGTCCTCCCATCCCTCTATACCATGCTGACTTTGTTATGAGAAGCTAGGTTTACAGAGACTTGTTAGTCAAGCAGATACTATATTTTCATGTAGCAATTTTTGGGGTCTTATCATCTCTCATTTTCATTTAACTTTTGCATCCAGTGGTGATATGCATAATGTGTAACAATCAGTCTGGCATGAACACTTGATCAATTAGATTGGAAGACTGGCCAATCAGAATGGATGCTCAAATAATCAAAGTTGACACCCAACCAATCAGAATGGATGCCTCACTAACCTAAATGAAAAGCCAACCAATCACAATGGACACTTGAACTATCAAAATAAATGCAGTGTGTACCAGCCTCACATTTACCATTGAACTTTTTACTTGTGGGCTCTCCCCTCAATTAGCTGGGAGCAAACTGAGGGCAAGCACCACATGAGACACCTTTTTGTATCCTCCAGTTGGCCTTGCTTAGCTGGTTTCATAGTGTGAACTTAATGAATGAGTGGACATTCTTCACCCAGTGATTGCTCAGGAAATATCAGTGAGTGGAAAGGGTACACTTTGTCCCTCTGATTAGGATAATTGTAGAATTCTACACTGGAGTATCACTAAATATCATGTGTTTTTATGACACACAGGTGACATGATAAATTGGTATTTTTAAGGGCTTATCATTCAATGTGATCTTGACAAACCAGAAAAATAATACATAATTATACTGATTTCTTAAACAAAACAATGAATAATGTACTTACCGAATGAATAATGTATAAATACAAGGTAGAATACAAACAGAAAGGTATTAGTGAGGTCCCAAACACGTGTTATAGCAAATAATAAACTAAAGGTGTCTAGATGTTATAAAATTAGCTAGTCAGCTGATACGCCAGTCAGATCTTCATTCATTCATTCCACACCGTGAGTACCGACTATGTGTAAAACATCGTGCTAAACATGCTGGGGATGCGGCAATATATTAGCAAAGTCTCTTTCCTCTAAGAGCTCAACTTTTAAGGGAGCAGACAAAGAAGCACACAAACCATTCGATAACAGAGAGAGAACTTATTCAATAGTTGAGTCATCAGTCAGTGAAGATAATCACCATAAAGGACATCTTTGTAGCCCACCGGGACAGCTGTGCTCAACAGATGGCAGAGGGCCAGAACCTAAGAGTGTCTGGGCAGAAGTGTTAACCGAGATGGGTACACACTGATTCCCAGAGGCTGCTTTGCCTTTAATTTTTCAGGACAATGTAAGCTCCTTGATTCTTGTAAGATACAGTGAAGGGGAGGAAAAGTCCCAATAATAACTGATATTAGGCTGGGCGCAGTGGCTCATGCCTGTGATCTCAGCACTTTGGGAGGCTAAGGCAGGCAGATCACCTGAGGTCAGGAGTTTGATACCAGCCTGGCCAACATGGTAAAATCCCGTCTCTACTAAAAATGTAAAAATTAGCCAGGCGTGGTGGCAAGTGCCTGTAATCCCAACTACTAGGGAGGCTGAGGCAGGAGAATCACTTGAACACAGGAGGCAGAGGTTGCAGTGAGTTGAGATTGTGCCATTGCTCTCCAGCCTGGGCAACAAGAGTGAAATTCCATCTCAAAAAAATAAATAAAAATAAAAATCTGATAGTGATTTTGCCAGGCTTTGACAAGTAGGGGTTTGGCCAAATTTAATTTCCTTAAAGCAATTAAGAAAGGTGACATGTCTTGCTCTCAGTGTCACAGATCAACTTAAACAAGTTTTAAAATTCTTAAATTATTTTGAAAATTTGCTTAAAGAACACACAGACTCTCAAGATTGTGTTTGTAGAATCTTGGGAGTAGACCCCTAAGATGAATACATTACTGTGGAGAGTGAATAATGCCTTTGGAATTGTGCAACATGGCAGTCTTGCTTGCTACCAGGAGGAAAGCTAGCCTGAGGGCAAAGTAAACACAGAGAAGAACAGGAATAGGAGAACACAGGAAAATGAACTAAAGCCTTGATCAAAACCAGCCTAAAGTTCACACAGACCTCAGACCAGACAGACCCTCTTTCAGCATCATAACCCACCTCCTTAGAAACTTCGCAGGGAAGAACTCCGACGCAGCCTGGGTCATATGCCCACCTCTGCGGCATGTGGAGTGAATTGGCATGATTCACAGCCACCATTAGAAAGTGGAGCAGCTTTCCAAAAGCAGAAAGAGTGTTGGTCTGACAAAATTCGCAGAAGGTAGACTCTGTGGACATCTAGATTTCTGCAGTCAAGCTGTCATGGACAATGTTAACCCTATAGAAGGCTTCAATAAACATTTGCTACATCAGATTGAATGGGCTGGTCTGCCTAGCGCTCCGCAGTGATGCAGCATTTACAGGGTGGGCTTGGGAAACTGACAGAAAGTACTGATGTGGTTTACTCAGAGCACAGTAACATGGAGTTTAAAACAGGGTCCACTGATAGCACCCGGAGAAAGAAGGAACAGTGGCAACCAGCAACCTGCTACCTGAGGTAACCACAGTGCTACAAGCATGCTTAACATCCAATCCTGTGAGCAGAACGCCTTGATTCAATAGTACTCAGTGACAACTAGCAGAATCTGATTTCTAAATAACACTGTTGCACAAAGTATGAAAATGAATAATGTGTAAAAGAAAAAAAGCTGATTCTTCCTGAAGTAGTATCAATATGTCAAAATGCTTGAATGGTTCAACAGTGGTACACAAGCTCACCAGCTAGAAAGTCCCAATATTATCCATACTTGGTAGCAGAGGAAAACTGGGGAAGTGAAAATAAGACAACATTATTTTTTTTTAAATTACCATCAATTAACAAAATTCCCCTAAGAAAACTTAGGGACTTTAAAATTCCTAATGCTAGTTTCTCTTTTGAACTTAATTTCTTTACCATACCGGCACATATTCATTCATATAGAAAGAGAATGAAAATAGTTGCATACAGACGGTGGGACTAAACATCATTTTAATAAATATGTATTATTAGAAAGAAAGAAATTTCACTGGTCCTTGCAGAAAATTTCCCCCTTCTTTTCCAGGAATGAAGAGGAAGACATAGAACAGTCCACACTGTTCAGACCATCGCTGAAGCCACATTCAGAGGCTTGCTCCAGGACTGGCTTGGGCAAGAAGGCTCAGCCTGCTCCAGAGGGCAGAATCCTTCTTCATTAGTGGCAGACATTGTGACTTTGACCTCATTAGAGCTTCGTTCCTATCTAGTGGACCCTAGGAATGAGACATTCCGTAAGCAGCAGAAGCAACAGCCCTCTGGCTACTGTATGATCAATAAGTTAATGATGATGCATTTCATCTTTAATCCACATAGAAAATGAAGTTCAATTCTAGGACCAACTAAGTCTTCTGCCACAATGGGACTGAGAATGGCACTGTACGTGAAGTTACAAGGCACACAAGATGTGTCTTAGTATAAAGCCTGCAGGCTTGCTCAACTAACTGTCCCCGTTTGTTTTTTTTTTTTTTTTCTTTTCTTTCTTTTTTTTGAGACGGAGTTTCGCTCTTGTTACCCAGGCTGGAGTGCAGTAGTGCAATCTTGGCTCACCGCAACCTCCGCCTCCTCGGTTCAAGCAATTCTCCTGCCTCAGCCTCCCGAGTAGCTGGAATCACAGGCGCGCACCACCATGCCCAGCTAATTTTTGTATTTTTAGTAGAGATGGGGTTTCACCATGTTGAGCAGGATGGTCTCGATCTCTTGACCTCGTGATCCACCCGCCTCGGCCTCCCAAAGTGCTGGGATTATAGGCGTGAGCCACCGCGCCCGGCCTTTTTTTCTTTTCTTATTCCACTAATGGTGGAGTCCACTGGTTCCCTTAATTACCTCTTGCCTTCCGGAAGGTGTAGCCATATAGCTAAGGTAAATGTCTGGACCAGTGGTTCTCAAATATTTTGGTCTCAAGACCCCTTTATCCTCTTAAAAATTATTGAAGACTCCAAATAACTTTTGTTCATGTGGGTTTTATATGTCGCTATTTGACACATTAGAAATTAAAACTTGGAAGGGAGAACAACAGATGAGAGACAGAGAGGCCTGGCAGGATGGACTCCTGGTCCCACACCTTCTTAGCCTTTTGCTTCTACACTACCTGAACCACTGGACTCCCCTTTCACAACAGCTAATCTGGTTGGGTTTCTACCACTAGCTAATGAAAGAGGACTGAACAATAAATCCACAAAACAAAGAATTAGCCGAAGACAATAAATAATAAAGGATTAACCTGAGTGTAACAGAATGCTGTTTCCCCCCTATATTTGTCATCAGTTAATTGAGAGCCTACTGAAGAGTGATGAATATTACCATCACCGCCAACAGTTCTACGGTGCCTTATGGGTTTCGAAGAGCCTTCACGTTTAGCATTTCATTTAATTTTTCACTAGAATCCTATGAAGCATCTTGTTTCATATCCATTTTACAGTTAAGAAAACTGAGATGTACAGTGCCTGCGTGACTTGTCACAGCGGTTAAGGCGCAGAGCCAAGACTAAATTCAAATCTTATTCTGTAAGTTCCCGTGGCCCGGTTCCTGCCTCACAGGATGCTTGCAGTTTTATGGGGCACAGACCTGTAGCACAAGGCTTCCCAGATTTAAAAATCCATCCTCCTCCGGCATAGGGGAGCGATCAGCGTAGCAGATCCTCTAAATACCCACCGTGTTTGGCTCTGGTCTGTGTGGTTTGAAGAAAGAGGCACGAGTGAGGTTCGAGTTAGCACGGTAACCATTCTTTCCCAGCTCTGTGACTGAGGAGCTGCGGGTGGGGGATTACAGTGGTGCTGGGCATGGCCTGGGAGAGAAGCTGGATGATGCACTCTGCAGATAACCCGTAGGCTGCGCCACAGCAGCGCCAAGAAAAGAAAGCATCTCTGCTCCGGGTCTCCGCGGAAGAGATGCGGGGACTACGGGTTTCTGATTCTGAGGTCCTGGATTTACAAGGCGCCCGCACACAAAGAAATAACAAAGTTCAGTTCCGGCGGCTTGACCAGCAGAGTTCGAAACGAGGTCTCCCTTCCCTGCTCCGGTGGAAACGCCCCCACGCTCTCACCCCGCCCACAGCAGGTCTTTTATCCACTGGAGCCGCCAGGACAGACCGCGCGGGGCACGCCCGAAGCTCCCCGGAGGAACTACAAGTCCCATGAAGCCTCGGAGAGCGGGCAGTGATGACGAAGCCCTCGCAGATTGGCAGTGCAGGGCGGGGCGCGCAGGCTTTCTCCGAGTGGAGGGGCGGGGAGCGGGGCGGGGCGAGCAGCGGCCGATTGACGGGCACGCCCCCTCGCCCGCGGCCCCCTCCCGCCTCTCTCCGCCGCCTCCTCAGGCTCCCCGGTCAGAGGGCCGGAGCGAGAAGATGGCGAAGACGTACGATTATCTGTTCAAGCTGCTGCTGATCGGCGATTCGGGGGTGGGCAAGACCTGCCTTCTGTTCCGCTTCTCAGAGGACGCCTTTAACACCACCTTCATCTCCACCATCGGTGAGGGAGGGGCTGCGGCCCGGGACCGGAGAGAGAATTGGGGGGCGGGTACGAGGGGATGGGAAGCGGGCGGGGGGCGCTTGGGAGCCCGGGAGAGGAGACCCCGGGGACTGCAGGGTGGCTGGGGTACTGAGAGGGGCGAGGGCGTGAGGGAGAGGGGCGAGCGGAGACCTGAGGCAGGGGCGAAGGGGGAACTTGGGGGCAAAGGAAGGGGAAGGGGAACAGAGGAACAAGGAATTGGGGGTTTGGGGGAACGGGAGGGTTCGGAGACAGGGAGGGGTCCTAGAGGGACAAAATGTGTTGGGGGGAAGATGCAGGAAATCTCATGTAGGGAGAGAAGGGGATCGTGGACGCGAAAATGGATTAAAAGACAAGAGAGGAAGGAAATGTGAAAGGGGGAATGAGAGGGACGTGAAGTAAAGGGATAGACGACACCAGGGACAGAGAGGTGAGAGCCAGGCAACTGGAAGGGAATTCAGGGGAATGAGCGGTCGGGAGGCGAGGAAGAAGGGGGACGCTGGTCACAGGAGGTCTGGACAGAGATGTCGTAGGAGGGGCCAGAGGAAAATTGCAGGTGGAAGAAGAGTTCAAGGGACCTTCGGGCGGAATGAGGATACTTGGTGGAGAACGTAAAGGAGAGATGGGTGTGAGACGGAAAGGAAAAGCAGAAGCAACATCGTAGTAAAGGGAGGTTGAGCAGCGAAGACGGAAGATGGAAAAGGGAGGAAATGGAAAGTAGTAGTGTGCAGGACGAGTTCCAGCAACTGATTACCATTTTCTCTTTACTTCCTTTGGGTCAAGTGCAGGAGAAAGCAAAACGTGACTAATGATGGAATTATGTCTATAGAGCGTTAATTTGTTCTGTGATTGTTAACGGATGTTAAGGGAATTGGTGACTTTTGGAAATGGTGTGGTCAGGAAAATATGGTCCACCTTACTACCATCTCCTGAGAAGCAAGTCTTCTCGGTATCTTAAGTCCTTGGGTTTGAATGTTTAACAACTTCTCAGCCAAGGAATTGATCTTACATTCTGCCCACCTCCCGCCTCCCTGTATATTTTGCTTTGATTCTAATTATTGTTAAATGAATCACAACATGTGATATACCTCCCAGTTACTTCCAATTGATTCAAGAGTTTTTCTGATCTTGGCTGGAGCTCTCCTTCCTACTTTTGTACTGAGAGACACTGTGTTCAGGTAAGAAGATCTCTTAACTTACTATAAACTGAAGGGTTTTAAGCTCTTAAAAATGAACACCTTAGCATCATTTTCTCCTGTTAAATAGCTGCGGATTAATTAAGTACCTTAAGAATCTCAGCTTTTGGTTGTCTTGGTGATATTTCTGGCCTCTAATAATAGCTTATTTAGGCATCTTTCATATGGTTCTTACAGCATATTTCACCATGAATTTCTGGGTTGGGAAATAATAGGGAGCTAGGGCTTTGGTAATACATGTGTTTACATATTTGTGTATTTTAAAGGGTAATTTATCTTTTTGTAAAACAGAGTATTCGATATAGAGCACTCTTTAAGTATTAGAAAAGACTGGGGTTTGTTTGTTCATTCTGGTGTCTTTCATATAGATTGAATGGTCTAAAACCTCCTATGATATCTGGGCTTAGGGAAGTTTGAATTGCAAGTTCTTGGCAGTCAGTCTTGAGTGGGACTTTTTCTTTTCTGAGAAAGCACATTTTAAATGTCATCTCTCAAGTAGATGCCTAAGATTTGGTGGTAGCTGTTGGTACCGCAACTGAAGGGCGTTAAGTTTTAACACATATTAATTACAAAGCCTCAAATCACTGTTTTTCATTGTTGAATGCATACTGCAATACAGATGATAAAGGATAATTTCTAACAAGTTGAGTGGGCGTCCTTTTGTCCATTCTGTGTTTGATCCTCCGAGGAGCATCTCCTGCCTTGAAAGTAAGTGAATCTCACTGATGCTGTTTCTCATAAGTTTCTTGGATGACTTGCTTGTTTGTAATATTTTTATTCATTTTCTCTATTTTTCCTTATTTTTTTGTCCTGTGTTTCCTGTAAGGATGTCTGCTTCCTTTTAAAATAGTAGCTTTTAAAAATTACTTTCATTTTGAAGGATTCAAGTCTGTGAGTCAATTAAAAAAAAATGATGGAAACGAGGCTCTTTGGAGGCTTAATCGCTATGAAGGTGTGAAAAGCAGCGTCCTGAAACAGGTTGGAATAGGAAGTGCTCATTAAAAGGAGGTGAATCGCATGGGAGATCTGGGTCTTTATATTTTCTCTGAGGTGGATGTGGTAAAAAGGCTGTGAGCTGTGTCTTCAGTTGATGTGGAGGAGGGGAAATCCCATAACTCTTATTTAGCCCTGGGGCTCCAACAGGAAGTGGTAGCACACTGTCTTCAGACCGCAGAATTTATATACCTGAAACCTAATGCTCTGCAGTCAAAATTAAGCTGGGAAAATAAGGTGAATGTTAGCACCATTCTGGTTCCTCAGAGTCTTCACTGCTTACAAGTATAGATTTTGGGTGTTCAAATCTCCGGCAGCCACTTCCCCAGGCCTCTCACCTCATTCCCAGGTGATCTGAAGTTGTTGAGGTGACAGTTGGTGGACCAGCTCCTCCCTAGTCATGAAGTACCTAGGTCTGTAAGTTCCTGGGCTCTTCTGACTGGGTTTTGATGAGGTCTGCCACAGCGTTGCTGACAACACTTGATAAGCTCTGTGTCACATGGAAAAGATGTATTTCTTAACGCCTGGGGTTTGTGTGTGTGTGTGTTGGTAGATATGTGTGGGTGTCTGTTTCTTCCCATGAAGATACATTTTGAGTCTTAATTTTGCTCTGTCAAAGTTATAGTAGTTTTAAAAATGGGAATCTGCCATCTTTCGACACTGTTTTGATAGGGGTTCTGTCATTATGCAGGGAAGGACACAATAGTCATTTTGATTCCAGATATAGTTGTCTCACAGATACTTTCTTCTTCTCACTTCTCTAAGGTCCTGGCTGGGTGTGGTGGCCCATGCTTGGGTGTGGTGGCCCATGCTTGTAATCCTAGCACTTTGGGAGACTGAGATGTGAGGATTGCTAGAAGCCAGGAGTTCCAAGACCAGCCTGGGGAACATAGTGAGACCCTGTCTCTACAAAAATACAAAAATTCACCTAACATGGGGGATGTGCCTGTAGTCCTAGCTACTTGGGAGGCTGGAGCAGGAAGATCACTTGAGGCCAGGAGTTTGACACCAGTCTGGGCAACATAGTAAGACCCCCGTCTCTACAAAAAGTGAATTAAAAAATTAGCCAAGTGGGGTGGTACACACCTGTAGTAAGCTACTCGGGAGGCTGAGGCAGGAGGATCATTTGAGCCCAGGAGTTCAAGGTTACAGTAAGCTATAATCGCACCACTGCACTCCAGCCGGGGAGACAAGCGAGATTCTGTCTCTAAAAAATAGATAGGCCAGGTGCCGTGGCTTACACCAGTAATCCCAGCACTTTGGAAGGTTGAGGCAGGCAGATCATGAGGTCAAGAGATCGAGACCGTCCTGGCCAACATGGTAAAACCCGCTTCGACTAAAAATACAAAAAATTAGCTGAGCATGGTGGCACATGCCTGTAGTCCCAGCTACTCAGAAGGCTGAGGCAGGAGAATTGCTTGAACCCAGGAGGCAGAGATTGCAGTTAGCCGAGATTGCGCCGCTGCACTCCAGCCTGGGCGACAGAGCAAGATCCCGTCTCAAAAATAAATAGATAGATAGATAAATAAATAAAGTCTTGCTGTCTTCTCTGATATCCCAGGTTCCTTCATTTCCTTTTTGGTCTTTGAAGGGTGGTGGAAGGTAGATTTTCTTTTATCCGACTTATTGAGGATCTTCTAGTATATCTGTCAATAATATTAGTTAACTATGGATAAAGGATGTTTTATCCATTTGAAATTATTGGTCCAGTGCCTAGGACTGACTAGCCTTTCAGTTTAAATGTTTGAAAATTGAGTTTTTTTTAAATTGGCTCTAAAAATTCCTTATGTAATTATAATGAACATTTAATCAAGTGTCTATAAAATGTAGCATCAAGACAACTAGGCATGAATACAGTTAGCTATAGATTATATATCCTGTAGGAAATGGATGCATTTTAATATTGATATGAGAGCATACCGACATCTTGAAATGCTCTGGACTGAACAAGGTGCTGGTTGAACAAAAAAGAGATAACCCAGCCCTGTCCTCTGACAGGAGAATCAGAGCTTCTACCCTTTGCCATCTCTCTCCTGCCCTGCCCCCTTCTTCCTGTTAGGTATTTCCTGAGTGGTTTCATTATTTAGTATAGTCATAGTTTAAGAGCAGAAAGAGTCTTAGAAATTATCTACTTTATTCTTGTCCCAATTTTATAAATAAAAACAATGAGGGTTTAATTGACACCCTCAAAATTACACACCTGATTATAGCAGATCCTGTGGTGAAACCTCAAATCCAAGTCTGTGTCACTTTTCACAACTGAGCTGTTACTATTCCTAATCAGTATGATTGTCCCCACAAATTCAAGTCATCACCTATTCCAGGGAAGACTTAGAGTTTGCACACACACCTTTCCTGTGAGGAAAGTTAAGCTATTTCCATTTTGATTAGCCAGTTGTGTTCAGGTGAATAGCAGATGTTACTACAATGCTTGGTTGGAGTTTATACTGGAATAACAGTGCATAGCTGTCCTTTGTCCTTTCTTTCTGTGTCTGTAGTTTTAGGTTAGGAGATCAAAATGTATCCCATCATTAGAATTTCTTCCATATGTAAAAGAACTAATGAAGTCATATTAATGAGGGTATGTTGCTAATTGTCACAGCTTAGCCTCATCAGAGTAATTTTAGACATTTTATTCTGTAACACTACATATGTTTCTTGGATTCGCTTTCCTGAAAATCAGGGGTTAGCACAGCACAGCCCATGGGCCAAGCGTGACCTGCAGCCTGCTTTTTGTGCACATCACAGGCTAAGAATGGTTTTCCCATGGTTTAAAGGTTGCTCAAAAATAAA